CGAAATTTTTTCTCGAAGAAGAAGAAGCAAGAATGCGGCTTGCCCATCTCCCGGAACCCTCGACCTTTTTAAAACAAAATTACAATTTTGCCATTACTGAGTCCGGGTCGGAATCCAGGATCCGCGTGTTGATCCGATTCCAGGTTAAAAAAATGTCTGAAATTGATCTTAAAATTACTGAAATTGCCACTGAAAAATTTTAAAATTACCCATTTCAATTGAATTTCTATAGTTTTAAACCAATGGCAATTTCAGTAATATTAGATAGGATTTTGGACATTTACTCTAAATGACTTCTGTTTTAATAGTATAGAGATACTCCCCCGATGTTTTGAGTTTTTTGTTTTCATAAAGATTAATGTTTTAAATTATTAAATAATATTTTTTTATAAATTTTAAAAAATATTAATTAAAAGTATTTAAATTCTAAATTATTATTGATTAATAGATATTAAAACATATTTAATATTAAAAAATAATATATTAATAATTTACTACTAATTATTTTTTAATTTATGAGCTGGTTTATTAGAAGTTGCGTTGTTCTTCAAACCGAATCAGAAATCAATCCGGTTTTATGCATGAACCGGTTGGTCAAGTCCGGTTTGTTTGCATTATTTATGTTTTTAACGACTTTTTAGGCAAAAGCACATGAGGAGGTGCATTAATGGAAGCAAATGAATAAAGAAAGGAAAAAATACCGTTGGAGAAGAAGAGGAAGAAGCCATGTGCGACGGTTTCCAGCATTCCATGAGCTTTCTTCTTCTCTTTGACTATATTTTATTTACAAAATTAAATGAAGAATACCAAATTAAAAAAAAAATGCTAAACTTTATTATTCAGTCGTAATCACACAGATGCAGATCCCTTCTCTCAATTTTTTCTCCAGGGAAAAAAAGTTCATTGCGAGTTTCCCGGGAAAATCTCCACTTCGGAGATGGAGGAGCATCTGATGAAAGAAGGGAGGTCTCTGGCAGAGACACCGACTTACTCTGTTGCTTCGGTTGTTACTGTTTTGGTCTTTGTTTGCTTTCTCGTAGAACGAGCCATCTACAGATTTGGAAAAGTGAGTTTTTTCTTCTCGACTTTATGCCTATTATGTGTTTGATGAAATGCTCACCTCGAAAAAGTTAGTGAGAGTAAAAAAAGGTTATGAATTTTGTGCACTTGGGTTCTAAAGTCTTGCTCTTTTATGCATAATGGGTATTAGAAAGTGAGAATTTTGATGGGTGAGACGTTTATTATTGGGGATTTGTGTTTATGCTTGCTAAATGTGAGGAGAAGAAGACCTTGCTCTGGTTTTGAAAATTAGAAGAAGTGTTGATGTTCCAGCTTTTAGGAGATTTCATTATTACAAAATGATTGTTTAACTGGAGAAGAAAGTGTTTCATGTTTAGATGAAGATGAGACGCTAATTTTATATTGTTTTGTGTTTCAGTGGTTAAAGAAGACTAGAAGAAAAGCACTTTTTGCTTCTCTGGAAAAGATGAAAGAAGGTATGTCAAATAGACCAGTCCGTGGTGAGTTATATAACTGTGGTCCTTTACTTCTTGTGTTTATGATTTTGAGTTGTTAAATTTTCTTGGTAGAGTTGATGTTGCTGGGACTTATATCGCTGCTGTTGTCACAAAGCGCGAGATGGATTTCAGAAATATGTGTAAACTCTTCCCTTTTCAACAGTAAATTCTACATTTGCTCTGAAGAGGATTATGGAATCCATAAGAAACTTCTGGAACACACTTCTTCTTCAAACAAAACTTCCTTAGCTCATCACGGAATACATGGAGCCTCACATCGATGTGGTCATGTAAATATCTAGTTATCTATAGACTTCAATGTGTCTTTTCCGTTTACTTATAAGGATATGTTGTAACTGTATCTTGGATCCAACGTCAGGGCCGCGAACCATTTGTGTCGTATGAGGGTCTCGAGCAACTCCTGAGATTCTTATTTGTCCTGGGTATCACTCACGTTTTATACAGTGGCATTGCCATTGGTTTAGCCATGAGCAAGGTACACATTCTAGCTTCTGAGTCCTATCTCTATGTTGCTCGGGAAGGAAGACAGATACTTGCTATCACTTTCAACCGCCTGTTTGGAGAATGTAGAGAACCCTTATGATCAAATATATTGTGCTATTGAGTATATGCGCATACATTTTATCTTCAGTCAGAAATTTGAGGAAAAACCTGTACAATCAAACCTTCCATATCGTCTTTTGTGTACAAAGAGTGTTGTTGTGATGAGTGCAGACAAACGGAAAACAGTACAATCAGAATCAGTGATTTCTTTTTATCATGTAACACAGATTTACAGTTGGAGAAAATGGGAAGCCCAAGCAATCGTAATGGCTGAAGCAGATATCCATGGTAAGTGACAGAACTTTTCTTTTTCTCCTTCAAGTGAAAGCTTGTATGCTTCTTTAATGGTTCTCATCTTGAGGCTCATGAGAAGCTATGTAATCATAGGATTACGTTCAATATTTAGGTTGTTCATTTCATGAACTCTCTTGAGCCGTGGAGATGTCTTTATGCAACATTTGCAATTCTCTCTTCTCCCTGGCTATAGAGTCAAATCCAGTAAACTATCACAGTTAAATGAAGTGCAAGAACAAAAGAATTACAGGAAGTTTCTGTGAATTTGGATAGAATTTTTATATATCCTCTCTTTTTGACTTTTTTCAATAGCAAAGAAGAAAAAGGTGATGATGCGGCAATCTACATTTGTCTTCCATCATGCCTCTCATCCTTGGAGTAACAATCGTTTTCTAATCTGGATGGTAACTCTCCATGCTTTTTACCTTAAACTGTATACTTTTAAATATTTACTTGTTTTTCCAGAATCTCTAGAATATATGCTTGTTATTGCAGCTTTGTTTCCTGCGGCAGTTTAGAGGCTCCATTCGGAAGTCTGACTACTTCGCACTTCGGTTAGGTTTCCTCACTGTGAGTATCTTTTTTTCTTTTGTCTCGTTTCTCAGTTTTCCCCTTCGAACATAAAAGATATTTTTTGTTTAATGTAATACTTCTTTGGCCTTAGATTGTGAAGGTTCATATTGTGATCCTCAGACTTCTCATCTGATTTGGTAGCTGGCATGATTATTGTATTGAATCCATTCTTCACTACTTTCAATTTTCAGAAACATAACTTGCCATTCACATACAACTTCCATATGTATATGGTACGGAGCATGGAAGATGAGTTTCATGGCATTGTTGGAATCAGGTATGCATTTATTATGAATAGAGAGAATTTATCTAAGACTCTTTGATTCAACTACGATGGTAAGTTTTCATAAGGCAATTACATAATAGGACTGATGAATTTTTCTTAATGAAATCAACAGCTGGCCGCTTTGGATTTACGCTATTGTATGCATCTGCATAAATGTTCATGGTAACTTAACGGTTATATAGATACAAAGTGAATTCCATTTTTCTGTCCAAATTTTAGTTTTGTCTTTACTAATTCGATGGTTTTGTTGCAGGCCTGAATATGTACTTTTGGTTATCATTCATTCCTGCCATTGTAAGTAAACAAAGCAAGTAAAAAGCTTGAACTTCATAATTAGGCATTAACATTCAAAGCATGTTTGTATTTGTTGTTAGCTTGTCATGTTGGTTGGAACCAAACTTGAGCACGTTGTATCAAAGCTTGCTCTCGAGGTCAAGGAGCAACAAACAGGCACAACTGGTGGAGCTCAAGTGAAACCACGCGATGGACTCTTCTGGTTTGGGAAACCAGAA